AAAAAATAAGCAAACTCTCAAAAAGCTGCAATCTCCAACAATATTACGAGTAAAATCCCTGTAAGAAGAGCTATAATGAGCATGTTTCTAGAGTACCGCTGTGCTTTTGTTCAACTCAAATGGAAAAGAATCAACATACCCAGCAATGTTGGCCATGGAGCTTAGCGCGTCATATCCCTGAGCAATTGTGACTCTTGGAACCTGGTCCATTGCCAAAACTGTAGTTTTTCTTTTAGAAAGTTTATTTAGCAAGTCTGGATTTTGGGCTGGGTAAATAAAGCTAATCAGTGTTCCCGATGTCTTTAAAAGGTCGGCTTCATGAACACCTAAAGTTGGATTAACCATGGGGGCTCGCACCTGAGGAAAAAAAGTCACGTCACTGATTAAAAATGTAAATATCTTAATCATATTTTTAAGTAAACAGGACAATTTAAATAATATGCAATGATTGAAATAACACTCCAGAAGTAATCTTTCAGCAATAAATTTCTGACTAAATTCCTAAACAAGGCAAGGAACACAAAGATCTTTGCCATCTGTCCCCTGATTGATGACCTACAAACTGTTCTGAGTACATTATTTACAAATCTGAGCTTTTATTCTGGTAAGATTAAGAGATATTAGAATAAACGGGCAGGGAGTTTTTGTTGTGTGTTCAAAGATTCAATTCTTGCAAATTTTGGCAAGCACAAACATTTGGAGTGGCAAAAAGTTAAGAACATTTTAACCTAAACTCTCCATTGTCATATGTATAGATCTATGTCACCTTAAAATTCCAGCTGAATATTTCTAGATGAGCACAATTCAAACTAGTAGGCTTGCTGAATTGGGCTTAAGTAAAAAGCTATAATATAATTTTGTTCCAGGAAGAAGTATCAAATAAGTCAATGAACGCACACACCATATGTTTGAAAGTTTCAAATGTCCACATTTCGAAGCCAATTTTTTTTAAATCCCACATTTTAAAATGTGGCTTTTGTTTTGTTTTTTTAATTTCACTTGATCTTAGCCAAAAGGCCAAGAAGCGATGTTATTTTAATTTCTTACAGCCATTTTCAGGGACCTTAACGACTTCAATGTCTTTAAGGCTCAGAACATGGCTTTACTATCACCAGCTTTTCCTAAGTTCCTGCAGGCATTCAGGTAAGCAGATTCATTGGCTGGCTTTTAAAATGTGTTTTATATCCAAGTTTAAAAATCAATCTTCAATTAACATGTATCCTTTCATTAGCTCTTATTTCACAACAGCGCTCTTAGGCAAGTAAGCCCAGAAAGCAATAGCTCAGGGACTTATGTTTTAAAAGGAAACACAAACACAAACACTGGGTCAATATTTTCATTCCACAGCATTTCATCTCAATTTACCTATGAGACACTTTATTTGTTACTCCCATGTCAGTTGCTGCTCTGGTGATTCATGTGATTTTATAATTAAGACTCTCTGGCAAGGTCTATTTTTCCTCAGTGAGAATCTATAATATAGATTTAGTAAAAATTAGAGGACAACTTTGAATTAATTCTACTGACCCCTATCAAATCTCAGCTGAAACTGTTGGCATCTGAGTGATTTAAGTCAATAGGATGTCTCCCTCAATGTGCTTTCTGGATCCCTAGTTGCTCAAGATATTAACAGGCTTGACTCAGAAATTAGGTCCCAGAGCCAAGCAGTTTATTAATGCAAGTGTAAAGTTATATAAGTTTCTATATTGTAGGATTTCTCAGTGCTTTTAACATGCTCATATACACTGTGAATCTCTAATAGGAACACAAAGCATTTCCAAAACTTATGTGTACCCTACCAACCCTTTACTGCGGGACATCTCAAAAGTTTTTGATCCCTAGAGCATATATTGGAATGGATTATACTTATTTTTGTACCTAAGCTCTTTTACTATACTAAGTTATATCACCAAGTATCTGTAAACCTGAACGCTCTAAAAGCTTGAGTTGAATTACAACTTACCTACATACCATAAATTTTACTATTAACATCTATAGCAAAAAATTTTGTCTTCTGCAAAAATCACTAAAACCCTACCCAACTTATTCAGTAGAGTTTATGCAAAAAAAAAAGGCAATTATGTGATTGATTCACCTTAGAAATTAATATACAAACACACACACACACACACACACACACACACACAAAGCTGGTATTTCCTGAAAAAGAAAGGAGCTTCTTTCAGGCTAATGATCAAGCTTCTACAAGCCCTATTTCCTTCCTTGTCTTGGTTGCAGAATGCTTAGGATTTAAGTTAATGCTCCCCTCTAGTAATTATCTCTGCTAGACTTGTGATGCAATCTCTTCCTTTCTCTATATGATTTTTTTTGCTTCAGATTTTACATCTAAAGTTCTTCAGCACATAGATTGCTATTGTATATTAAGACCTTTTATTAAAGTAGGTAAGGCTACTCTCCACTCAGGCCCCTCTTGCTTTCTCCAGGGCAGCCCTGCCCTCTCTAGAAATAGCAGTTATGTCAGATACATCACTCTTCCTTCTATGTATCAGAAGATCACAGCTACATCACTGTTCCTTCTATGTATCAGAAGATCACGGTATATTCAGTCCCAGGAGGAATTCCATGCCTTTTGTTCTATTCTAGTAGCACTTAAATACTCACCTGTAGGTATTTTGGATATATATGAACCAGGAAGTGCAAATTCTCCCTAGCCAATAAGAAGGGAATTTCCATATGACAAACGTAAAAAGGAAGATCACTTTCTCCCCTCATGGATAAACATGGATCACATTGCCTGATAAAAGTTCTATTGGAATATGAATATTCACAACATACAAGCATTTCTCTGAGGAAAGACATTGTTTGAAAATATGAAGAGACATAACAACAGTTTAATTTTCCTATGAAAAGTTTTTTAAATGTCGGCATGCCATAAATGAGGGGGGAAAGGAATAATTACTTTGACCACCAAATCAGAAGCCAGCACTTCCTTCACCCCTTGGATCTGGGCACCTGCTGCTTTGTAGTGATCATCAGAAAACTTGGAAGCTTCACCAGCACCTGATTCCACGACAACACTGAAACCCTGCTTGACCAAGGCCTGAACCCCAGCAGGAGACAATGCCACCCGCTTCTCATTTTGGAAAATCTCCTTGGGGACACCAACAGTCAGTTGTTTATATGGAATTCCTACAAAGGCAAAAAAAAAAAAAAATTAGTAAAATACAACAACATAAAAACAAAAATAGGCAGTCTGTTCAAAATATACCACACATACAAGTTGCTGCTCAAAATAATATTCCCGCTTCATAATCATAATTGAGTTTTTTGATCGATCATGGGAAATATTTCTGCCCACTCTCCTGAAAGTTCCAAATATTTCATTTAACCAAATGGTTCTCTTCAAATCACATGACTAGATTAGTTTATCCTTAGGGGGAAAAAATGGGTTGTAAGAGATCATTCAACAAGCAAATTCCACTCTTCAAACTAACCCTCTGGGATTTATGGTCTCCTTGTCCTTACCTTTAAGAAAGACAGAAGTAATCTGCTGTTTTGAAGAACAAGCCTATACTAGACACTTTGGTGGCCTGCCACACTCAAGAGTTTCCTTCCTGGCAATTTGACCAATGCAATTCCTCATAGATTTCCAAGGTTGTATCCTGAGACCCTACATTCTTGGCCCCCACTGATTAGACCAGGGATCAACAGCTGGGTCAAAGATAATAGTCTACAGGCCAGACAACCTCTGACGTGACTTACACAGGAACTACCTGAGGACACTCTATGTTGGCCAGTGATGACCCAACCCATTCAGGTTCTTTTTCAGGGCGTCTGTGACCCACAGAAAAGGACAAGGGAGTAAATGGTACAGAAGCTATTTGTAAGCAACCATGAGGTAATCAAAGGGAGGTATACAGGCATAGTAGTAGAAACATCAGGAGTGGAGATACAAAGAGGGAAGATGAGCCACAGCTATGACATTCAGAAGAACATTCCACTTTTCCAAGAAGTAAATGAAGAGTTTCCTGGGCTTCTGTACTTCCCAAGATCACATACAATAAACCCTCATCACAAAATATAGCCTGATGGGATCCTATTCCTTGCAACCCAAAAGAGCCTGCATGATATATATAAAGTATTTATAGATGGTTCTGAACAGCTTTAACTACAGTACATTAGTTTCTTCTGTTTTACTCAACATGAGGGCATAAATAGATTTTTTTAAATAAAGATCTGCTTTTATATGTTTTACTAAAGCTTAGGAAATCTACTCTAACAACCTAAACTCTAGATATACATAATAAAAAAATTAAATTATCTCCACAGAATAACAATAATCATTAAGTGAGTGAGGCCTCAGAGAAATGAAGTCAACCTAAAATACCACCACTTGATCACAGTCTTAGACCCCATACTCGATAAACGGTAATAACTGATAGTAAACCAAAGGCAAATATACGCTGAATCTTACCCTCTACTTGAAGAAGAGGGAGGAAAATAATAGAAAGAGGGAAAATATTTTGGATTGATGTGCAAAGTTAAATCACATATACATTTCGGGTTTACTTATCTGACAATCTCAAATTACCTAGGCCCTATATACCATAAGCCAAGGAAGCTACCGAAGACAAATGAAGTCCCATCAAACAGATTTAGGAGCCAACCTGAAAGGGCATCCACTTGGCCAAATAGGAAACAATCTGAGCATGAAAGAGAATAATTAATTGCAATGTAATAAAACACATCCAAGTGAGTTAGTTATGATACTCAAAAAATATTTTTTTAAAAGCTTCACTAGTCAACTAGTCTTTGGTCTCCCAAAGATATCCACATTCTAATCCTCAGAACCTGTGAATATGTTAGGATACACAGCAAAGGAGAATTAGGGGAGCAGATGGAATTAAGGTTGCTAATCAAATGACCCTGAAATAAGGAGATTATCCTGGATTATCTGGGTGGTCCCAATGCACTCACAAGGGTCCTTAATTGTGGAAAAAGAAGGCAGAAGAGTCACAGTCAAATAGTAATGTGAAGATACTATGCTGCTGGCTATCAAGACGGAAGTGGGGGCCACGAGCCAAAGAACGCAAGCCAAAAGCTGGACAAGGTAAGGAAAAAGACCTCCCCTAAAGCCTCCAGAAGGAATATAGCCCCACCAATACCTTCATATAAACCTAGTGAGAGCCATTCCAGACTTTGGCCTCCAGGAGTGCAAGACAATAAATCTGTGTTGTATGAAACCCATATATTTGTGATCACTTGTTACAGCAGAAATAGAAAACTAATACTTAAGGGAACCAAGACATTATTACCAAAACTAGTAAATAATGGGACAGAATCAAGCATTTATCCCACCTTGGCACCACAACCTCAGGGTAACTAAATAATAGAGGGAAAGTTTCTCTTTACAGAAAAATTCTAGCTCATAAATGAAGATAAAATGATAGAGTATCACCATTTAAAAAACCCCCATAAAACCATGGATTTAGTTAATGATCATTAAACGTCTGTATAGCCTTTGAGTGAAACAGTGATGGGAGCTTCCTAATAGATGGATACCAACAACATCTAAACTCACTGATTAATCTTCTTGATGTAATGCAATAGATCATACACAGCATCACCTATGAAGTATTCTTACCAAAAAGAAAAAACAAACAAACAAATCTGAGTCTAATCAAGCCTCTAGATCTAGCTAAATGGTACAGAAAATACAAGGGACAGAGAAACTGGGTTTTAATAAGACCAAGGGAATTTAGTCAGCCAAACCTAGAATGTGAAATTCTGCAGGGCAACAACGACATTCTTCAACAAATAAATTAAAAAGAGAAAAAAGGAAACATAGAGATCAAAAGAAGGGATGTAGCAAGCAAATACAACATGTGGATCCTGTTTGGATCATTATTTGGATAAGGCAACCGTAAAAAAACACTTTTTTTAAATATGAATACTAACTGGATTACTTTTCATGCTTCTCAATGTGGTAATGAAATTGTGGTGTTATACATTTTAAATAGAATCATTATCTTTTAGATATAAAAAATGATTATCTAGGAAATAGTCAAGAGCCAGAAATTGAATAAACAAAAGTCTCCTGCATAGTCAATATAGAGATCTTGATGTCCAGCCTTTAGTCACAAGGACAATTCTCACGTCCTCAATGCAGTTACTTCTATCTTTTTTTTTTTATTATTCTTATGTTAATCCCCATACGCAGTTACTTCTATCTTATACACAATTTTATCACGCTTGGATCATCTGGCTTTCTAGAACACCTAAAATAAAAATCTGAAGATAAAGTTGAGGACTCTCAGGGGCAGGTACCTGGCCAACAGTCACTTGTCATGTGAGAACAAGAAAAGAGGCTGTGAATTCTATGAAAGACAGACATAAGAACTCAAAAAGCATAGCGGTGCCGGGATCCTGAATGCACAGAGTCCTACAAACGTAAAAAGAAGGGCATTATTCTATGTGGCAAAAACTTTAGGTTGCCCCCCACCAAATGTCCATCCTGTTCTTCCACCTTAGTTACAGAATGCCGATTTTAATGGAATATGTCACCATCTAGAACAAAGGACCTCTTTTATGTCCAAGTCTCCCTTATAACCACATAATGGCCACCTATCTGAGTTTTGGCCCATGAGGTATAGACAGTCCTAGGAGGGTCTTTGTGCAAAGTGCATAAAGGGATCTCATTCAGCTTAGAAAGCCCTTATTTAGCTTCTCCTTTTGGCCTGCACACTAGAACAGAAGCATGGGGATCCTAGCAGGGAAGGCCTTGTAGGCTACCGAAAGACTTCAGCTCTTAACTCTGCATGGGCTAGGACACTGTGGCAAATTCTGAATAGAAAAGTACATGATCTTTCATTTTTAAAAGATGATGCTGTCACGTATAGAACAGACTGTAGCAGGAGCAGAGGCAGAAAGCATAGAGCACATTTAGAAGATGAGCACAACAGTCCCGTGACAGATGATGGTGGTCCCGTGACAGATGATGGTGGCATGGAACAGGAAGATAACAGCGGTGATGGTGAGAAGAACAGACTCCGGATACAAGGTAGGGCTGAACCGTACCTACTGTGAAGACCTAGGAAGACTCCAAGGTTTCTGACCTAAGCAACTGAGATGAAGTTGCCATTCACTAAATCAAGAAGCACTACTTCAGATTAATTCATATACTTAGTTGCTAATTCTTGAGCAGAGATGAGCCATGTATGTTACAATTCCTCCATACTGACAAGGAAAGAGGAAGAGCTGCTGGGAGAAATGGTTACTCTGAGCAATAGTTTCCTGGGTACAACTCAACTGGTTTATCATTTCTCTTTTTCTCTCTTTTTCTATTTTCTTTTCTTCTCTATTAGCACTGACAATCAGGAACTTCTATACATGGAAAATATTTTTAAAAAGCACTCCTTAGGGTTCTTTTTTTAATGCAAAATGATGACTCACAAACACCAGGCTGTAACACTGCATGACTTTTCCTTTTATCAATCATCAGGAGATCTGTTAGCTCCTACGACTTGAAGGTTTGACTTACATCCATTGACGTGAGACTTTACCTGGTTTTACAGGAGCTTTACACCAAAGAGCCTGATGAGTATGAAATGTTCGTAAAAAATCCTTCTTCCCAGGTATAACCTTACAGGACCCCAAATTGCTAAGTAAAGGACACGAACAGCCAGTCACCACGGTTTTCAGTAGATTCGCCATGTTCGTATGAGCTCCCAACTTTCTGAATCCCAAATTTCCTTGAGCATAAATCACTAAAACGAAAGAAAATAAAGTATTTATGTGCTAAGAAAAACATACTTTGTCATTTGAACATCAAAAACATTTTTTAAAAATACTAATTCAAAGAGCTTGGAATATAAAGTTTTATGTGGGCATCTACAATGAATTTATTTGCCAAGCCCTTTACTTACAGAAGATGCTTCAAAACTTTGTTTCCGACTCAGATATGTAAAACTTGAAATCCATTTTCCCACTAAAATAGTGGTTATAAACCCACTATTCAATTTTAAGCCTTGATCACCTAAGTCTAATTGATCCTTAATGTAGCTAGAAAGCTGAAAAAGAAAACTGCTATAGAATCCAATCACATCTTACATGAAAGTTGTCTTCTAAATCTGCACATACAGCAAAAATTGCATAGTTATCCTTGAATTTCCCTTAAATTGTCTATAAAACTGTATAGTAGCAAGCTATTTAGCCACCATGTACAGAAAACACTGGCAACCCATTCAGTGCAGCAAGATGCTTATCCTGTAAGACCCCCGAATTGAGATTGAATGAACATGAGATGCATGTTTGCTAAGTGCACATCTCAAAAAATTAAACATGTGTGAGATATGACACCAATTTTAAAAAAGAAAGAAAAATGCCATTTTCACATAAGTTTGCGCTTGTAGGTGTGGGTGTTAACTAGGAACTCTTCCATCAGTGGTTCTCACAAGTGGCTACTTCTTTTTTTTTTTTTAAAGATTATTTATTTATTTATTAGAGAGTGAGCAGGAGAGAAACAGCATGAGAGGGGAGAGGGTCAGAGGGAGAAGCAGGCTCCCCGCTGAGCCGGGAGCCCGATGTGGGACTCGATCCCAGGACCCTGGGATCATGACCTGAGCTGAAGGCAGTCGCTTAACCAACTGAGCCACCCAGGCGCCCACAAGTGGCTACTTCTTTACCAGCTCTAACTGGGCCGGATGAAGTGTCACTGACCTTTGTTATTATTGACCTAAGCTTCAGTGGTTACCTCCACTGCTCTGCATGGCAGATCCCCAGGGCTGCACTGAAGGCACGCCCACCATTCCCTTGATTCCCAATGTTCCCCCATCCTTCTTTTCTTTCCTTCAAAATCAGGAAGAAGCAGAAGATCTGGAATTCTATCAGTCAAGCTCAGCTAACTCCACCAACTGCTTTAAGCTCTGCCCCATCGTGTGGGCCCTGTTGGGGTCCAGCACCCAATCCCAGCAGACTCCATAAACATTCTTCCAGCGTCCAGAGGAAGAAGGGTCTAGCTTACTCAGAACTGCTGCTACAACTCCCTGAAGCAACTTCTTACAAATACCAGAAAGCCACACTGGGAATGGAAATCCTTAATCCAGATGGTGCTTATTCTTAAAATGCCCTTTAATTCAACAAACACGTATAGAGGGCTGAGTCAGAGGCACAGCCGTTAGAAGCATCTGTAGAATCAAACTGGAATAGGTGACACACTTTGAGATAAGAAAAGTCAACAAGTAATAACACTACAAAGCAGAGTAAGGCAAGTCCAAAGTTCTTTGAGGGATCAAAGAAGGAGATTATGTATTCCTACAGAGCTCAGAAAAAAGAAAAGAAACACATTTGAGATGGAGAGCGTAATGTGAAAAAAGCTAAGGAAGCGGAAGCATGCAAGATGGGTTCAGGCATGCAATCAGAAATGTATCTGAACAATGTTTTGCACTTGAATAGGTTTTATATTTTCAGTGTTTCCACATGTCATTTCATTTCAATCCCAAGCATTCCTGAGTCCCATAAATATTCTCCTCATTTATTCATGGGTCACTTCTAGGGTTAGTCATGGCTGAGAATGGAGAGCAACAGTTTGAAATCCAGCCCCGAATTCAAAACATTCACAGAATCTATGCCAAGAACAAGGGAGAAACAAAGATATATAAAAGATATATAAAAGATACAAAGATATAAAAAATTCTTGCCTTGAGGGAGATTTGTCCTACCATTACCAATGACCTAGTCTTTTTTTTTTTTTAAGATTTTATTTATTATTTATTTGACACACACAGAAAGAGAGAGAACAAGCAGGGGGGAGTGGCAAGCAGAGGGAGAGGGAGAAGCAGGCTCCCCACTGAGCAGGGAGCCCGATGTGGGGCTCGATCCCAGGACCCTGGGATCATGACCTGAGCCGAAGGCAGACGCTTAACCGACTGAGCCACCCAGGCACCCCAACCAATGACCTAGTCTTATCCCAACCTCCCCACTTACCCTAGTTTCTCTTCTTGGATCATCCCACCTCCCCAACAACCACCATTCTCATGGGGCTGATGAGGTTTACCCAGACCTCATCAGGGAAAGAACAAAGCTAGCTATAAGAGAGCCTGTGTGTTGTCTAAGTCTGCCGCTCACTCCCTGAATCTCTCTGCATCTCAGTCTGCTCATCTATAAAAGCATAGGAAAGCTCGTTTGTTAGACCCCATTAGGCTCTAAAACTTTTATGATGAGATTTTACAGTGCTTTAAAGCTGAAGTCCTATTTCATAAAATCTGGAAAAACTGTCCTGCCTACTTAGAAAATGGGAATTTGATGTTGAATAGATCCCTGGCATCAAGCATCAGTTAAGGCCAAGGCCTTCAGAGGCCAATCTTGCCAAAAAATTCCACTTACTTCAAGTTATGAACATACAGGACAGTGATCAGAAAGTAGTTTATTGGCAAGAATGGTCCCTACCACTAAGCCTAAATCAAATACAAATGACCCTGAAAGATATTCGGAGAATATTTGAAACCGTGTTATCACAGACAGGTACTTGTTTATATCGAACATAGAATACTAGCCTAATTGTCACATTTGTCCCTCTCTTCACTTAAAAAGCCCTCTATTTTATTATCCATGTGTTTCTATGACTTTGAAGCAATGGGGGAAAGCTTTACAACTCAAAATTGAAAAAAAAAATAATTAGTATATCATTGATACAGCACTGTAATGTAAGTTATTCGGATAACTTTCTCCCCAGTAGGTAATAAAATTCTTGAGGGCAGGGAGAGAGGGCAGCCTAGAGGCTAACAAGGTGACCTGTGGGTTGTAAGCCCCCATTCTGTAATTTATTAGCTGTGTCCTTGGCAAGTCATTCACTTAACTCCTCTGAAACTGATTCCCTCACCTTTAAAATGAGGATAATAACAGCACCTGTCTGTTGTGAGGATTAAAAGGACACAGTATTTTAATTGCTATTATTATTCACTTTGGTATTACATCTGGCTCAGTGCTTTGCACAAAATAGGAAAACAGCAAGTGTTTTTTGACTGAATAAATGAATAACTAGGGCTAGGTAACTTGAAACCTAGGTATCTAAGGAACACATTCTCCAGAGTTTCAGGAGATTTCCTTTGAAAATGAAATGCTGTGTATCCTTGCGGAAAACTGATTCCATCAGCAAAGGTAAACAGCCTGAGCACACTTGCTGATAAGAAAGTAATCCTAAACTGTACATTTAATAAAATTTTAAAAAAACAGCCAGGTTTGCAAGTCAAAGGGGTGTGATGGAGAAGAGGGGAGCATTTTAAATAAAAGCATGTAAGTCTCATCCAAACGGAGTCTGTCCTACAAGACTCCTTACAAGGCGATCTCTCTAGGACTGCCCTGCACCACAGGGCGAATAAAGGACGCCTGCAACCGTAAACAAGTCACGCTTTTAAAGCAGAGCATACCAACCAAGGACACAATACCCTACAGAAGCTTAGACTGGCAGGCAGTGTGACCTCCACCAAACTACCGCCCCTCCTTCGGCCACTAAACTGCAGCGCGGCTGGCAACTGCCCGGGACCGCTATTTATAACCTTCCCCTGAAGCCGATTGGCCAAGGCCGAATAATAGACATTCCGCCTCCGGGGTTCGAATCAGCTCGGCCCCCACCGCTATCTCCTCCCGGTCGCCAACCCCGGGCCCCACTCTGCCTGGTTGAAGTTTGCCCGGACCACCACCAGCCGGCACAGACAGACACACTCACAACGTTCGCTCGCCACCTCCTGGGTCTCCAGCTGATCGCCGACCCCGAACTCCCTCAAGGTTCAAGCGCAATTTCGGGGCGTCCAGCTGCCACTTCTCTAGGTGCACCCTCTATCAAAAGTCCTCTATGACCTCTCCTCCTCCCCCCATCTTGCGGGCCGAAATGACCCCGTACGACTCCCGCTGCCCGCCAAAGCTCCAAGATCTGCACCTGCACAGCTGCCTGTTCCCTGACCCCTGCCAGTACCCAGTTCCCCAACCACCCGCCCACTCCTTTCCACGTCGCCCCAGCAAGAGACAGGAAAGAGGGCCCTCGAGGCGAGGTTCTCCTTCCGGACCCAAGCCTCTGGCCTGCGGGCGCCCGGGTGCACCTCGCACCCAGGCCACTGCCAACCCCGCCCCCTTCTGCTCTTTGACAGGTCTCCTCCTCGGCGGGGGCCCGGACAATCCCCGCGAGCCCCGCTGCCCCTCCCCAGCTGCGCCCCAATCGCGCGCCCCGGCTGCCCGCGCCGCGCCGCTCACCTTGGCGGGGAGGCCAGGCGGCCCTGG